AATCTTGTTAGTTATCAAATATGATAATCAGTTAGAAATTTGCCAGGTTCAGAATTTTCTCTAGATTTGGAACTGAGTTTTTGCCACAAACTCAAATATTCTAATCCCTAAATCTTTGCACCGAGTGGTGTAAACATTTGATATTTCAAACTTGGAATATTTTACCATAAGAATTCAAAGTTTGATATCTACGAGTACTCTATAAACTCAACACAAATAAAATACAGTTCAGAACTTTTTTTTACATTAAATGTTTACAATAGCCTTTAGCCTTGAGAATTGAGAAAGATAAAAATATTCTTTTTAAAACTAACTATTGTGTAATAAAATTTCTACATTAACTCTATTGGTTTTCTTATTCCTGTGACACTGATTTTCGCCATTCTTTCTTTCTTTTCATTCTGCTGGGGGGGGGCGCGCCCCCCCTCTCAGGTGCTAGGGGAGGGCGCGTGCCTGGCCGCCCCCCCCCTAGTTGCGCCTATGTAGCTAGTTAAAATTCATTTAATTTAATTCATTTTTCATTTTAGGTCGAAAAGCATCACTTATTTGTGATGATGGGACATCAGCTTCATGTACATGTACTACTCCCCCTTGTAAACCTGGTGGTATGTATATACCATGTACAGTGTACATGAACTACTCCCTTTTGTATACCTGTTGGTAGATTTATACCCTGTACAGTGTACATGTACTCCCCCTTGTAAACCTGGTGGTAGGTATATACCATGTACAGTTACATGTACTACTCCCCCTTGTAAACCTGGTGGTAGGTATATACCCTTTACAGTGTAACTCCCCCTTGTAAACCTGGTTGTAGGTATATACCCTGTACTGTGTACTTGTACTCCCCCTTGTAAATCTGGTGGTAGGTATATACCCTGTGCAGTGTTCATGTACTACCCCTTGTAAACCTGGTGGTAGGTATATACCATGTACATTGTACATGTACTCCACCTTGTTAACCTGTTGGTACTGGTAGATAGATATACCCTGTACAGTGTACATGTACTCCCCCATGTACACCTGAGCCCAAAATTTAATAAAACTGCCTAACCGTGAAATATGGGTTTTAAAACTAGTTTTCATAACAATACCTGTCTTTTAAGTGTTGGGCTCTAGAGGTAGATATTTACCCATTGCAGTGTACATATACTACACCCCCTTGAAAGCCTTTTTGTACATGAAAGGTTGTACAGCTTTTTAACAAGGTTCACTTGAAATTACGTAGACACTCCCTTTAAACAGTTTTTTTTCATTGTAAACTCTTGTTCATTTTAAGTACCAAGCCAACTTTTCAGCAGCTAAATACGCTGTACAATACACAAAAATCCTCCCCTTCTATTGAAATCTCTATGATTTGAGGAAACCGTCCAACATGTATCTGTGCGGATGGGTCAACTCCTCGTGTAAAACCACCCTGTGCAGATGGGACCTTCCCTCTATGCCCTGAAGCTTGCAAGGATGGCTCGGATGCTGTTCTGAACGGAAACTTTGGTAAAAAAAAATACAATAAAGACGACTTTCGATTTTAATTTTGATTTTTATCAAGGTTTTAAACAGCTTCTCTTTAAATACTTGTAAACTTGTCATTTGAATAAAGCTTGTTAACAATTATGACTTGAATAAAAATCGTCTTCTTCGAATTGATATAATCCACGACCACTGTAGAATAATCTGTTACAGAGAGACCCATAAAACTATAGAATAAGAAGACGACATTTTATCCAATTTATGTGTATTTGATGTTTTTAGCAGTACTTGAAAATTAAATTGTGAAAAGGGTCCTTGTACATACTGCACAATTGCATTGCACACTCCTCTGCTGCTTTATAAATTGTAAATTGGCGGTACAGTCCAAACTAGGACTCCACAGGTTGGCACAGCTCGGATATTCAAATGTACACTGGTGGTGCGTTATTGGACAGATTAAAAGTAAAACTTGAGTGAAACAGTCGCCTTCCTGTTACGGAATTAAATGTGACATATGTAACTAACATTGTGTTATATAATTCTAACACGATTACTAGCGTCAATTATATTTAACATAATTACTATACAGTATATTATATATTTAGAAGAACCACCCTGCGCTGACAGATCCAAACCGAACTTTAAACAATGTAAATGTGAAGATGGAACTGTAATTCATCATAAAGGAGTTAAAAAGCACAAGGTAGATCTCTCATCCCCCCCCCCTCTCCTCCTCTCTTCTCCTCCCCCTTCCCCTCCTCATGTAACAAAATTTTAATAAAATTTTCTTTATAAGAGTTAATCTATTCAACTAAGATTTTTGGAACTTCTAACATACTTGGCTTTTAATTCTGCTCTCAATCAAATTTTTTGTTCTTGGATTGAAAACTTTTTAATGCCAATTTTTAAAAATTTTTAACAATCTGTTATAAATCTTGCCTGAAGTCATGTGAGGTCCAACAAAAAAGTCGGAAAGAGGCAAAATTACAATACTTTTTCTTTCATGTAGCTAAATATGAATTAGACTGGTTCGGCTTTGTTCAAAAATTAAGTGTGTTGTCTTAATTAAAACATTGAAGTTTCCAGGTAAAGCTGGGTTTCCTAGCTAGAAATTATATTGAATTCTATTTTATTAATTTAGGAAGTAAAAGTTGAAACTGATGATGATGATAATGATGATGATTAGATGTTCTCTGAAATATATATTGATATGGAATTAGTTCACACTGCTTTTTTGTATTCAAATCTGATTATATAATAGATTTCTTTATATTTTTATTGAAAATAACATGATTTGATTGTATTTTGGTGAAATATATAGAGTTTAAATTAGGATTAGAGCTATTTTGTGATTATTGTTTCATGAACAAATATTGCTAAGGTAAGAGCTGAAAACTTTAGAATGGGATATCTTTAATCCCAATTTCTTCATCTTAGTATCCAATATACACACTTTTGGTTTTCTTCTGAATCCTCTTTTTTGGATACCCCTGCTGTATTATGTATATAAGTTTTGTTTGATAACAAATACATATACGATGCTATATCTGCTATATCGATTGGACTAATATCCAATTGAACTAAACTCAGCAGTTCACAAGCCGGCTTTTAGAGCAATTTAGACAAATATGAATTTAATCATGTTAATATAAACTTCTTAAAAAACATATTTTATCATATTTTGAACGTTAGTCTTAATAAATGTGAATCCAAAACTTACTTTGGTTCAATGGATCAATATAGTCAAATTTATATGACACCACAAATGCGGGAAAATAAAAAAACCAGGTTTTTTTTAAAGTTTAAGAGCTCACCTCTAATCTCTCAAGACTAAATTAGCAAAAAGAGAGGATCAAGCATAATTTTCAGCTATGAGCTGAAAACTTTAGAATGAGATATTCTCACTCCCGATTACTTAATCTGAGTATCCAATGAACCCACTTTTGATTTTCCTCTTTACCCATTCAAATCAAAACCGGTTTTTTAAAACAATAATGTTTCCTAAACACCAGGCCAGTAAAACAATAATATTTCCTAAACACCAGGCCAGTAAACCAATAATATCTACTAAACAGACTACAAATGTTTTCCTGGTCTTACGACAATCAGAAGTCATAATTCTGTTATGATTCTAAGGATCAAGCATTGACCTTAATTGAGGGATTAAGCATTCTGATCTCCAATAAAAGATATTTTGCTGTTGCATACACTATAAGCCTTTTTTTTTCAAAAAATCTCAACATGATGAAGATTTTTAATGATACATAAACAGTTTGTATTAAAAAGTCAACTTGAATTGAAATTAAGACTTCTTTTTTTTTATTGTAAACTCCGAAAATTCCTTAACTTGTTCATATCTTTTCCAGCTTTATATAAAGATAGACAAATTCATTTCATTTTACAGTTGTAACATGCAGGAATCTAACTATGTGTGCACCAATAAACAAAACATAATAAATTTTTTGTAAAATCAGTGCAGGGGGATAAATATGAATAAGATGAAAATCCAGAGATCCACCACAATAAAATTTCTTACTTCAAGTAAATCAGAGTGTCTCATATCATATAAAATCATCTACAAGCTTTAAGACAAAAAAATGTACAAATACTTAACTATCTTTGTATTTTTTGCATATAAAGTTTTTTAACAATCTTCTCTTGGTTTCCATGAACAAAATCATTTTCAATCGATTTCAGGAAATATAGACAACATTGTTTTTGAAGTTTCAATTGAATAATGATAAGAAATATGTTTACATGTTTATTTACGCAGTAACCTTTATGAAGCATTCAATCCTTCTCTTTTTATCAAGGTCTTTAAGCCTTTTTAAGGCTGCATAGAAACACGCCCCTTTTGTAAAATGATGTATTTTGTATTTTTCTTTACTCTGTGACTAAAGTCAGTGAAATAAGCATTTGGTTATGTTAGTAAGTTTCCTTTTTACATAAAGTCTATGAGTACTAAAAAAGATATTAGAAGTAGAACTACTTTTGGACTTTGGTAGTAAATCTATAGCAGTTTATACTTACACAGAAGTTTAAATAAATTGAACTCAAGTTTGTTATAAGAACGCCCATCTTTGCAACATATGTAAAGTGTAAAGTATAAAACTAGAAGTTTTGGTCTAATACCTTAAAAAAGTAAAATTTCTAGAATCTGTTTTAGACTCATATTTTGTTAAACAGTTAGTAATGGAAATTGATCATTAAAATTACAATAACAAAATTAATTTTTCAAAAATAGCATTAATTTTAGAAATATAATAAAAATCAAAGTTCATATTTCAAAATATTATACTTCAAACATTTATTTTAACATAATTAACTTTCTTTAGATAATTATTTTAAAAGTCAGTTATAAAAATGCAGAGGCAGCTAGCAATCTGTTTTACTGTTCTTTTTACACTATTTCTTACAGGAAAACATTTTTTATACAAAAGATATTATTTCATTACATGGGAACTTGAAACTTTATGTTGACTTCTTCCTTCCTTTTATACAAGAAGTGCTATTTGGACTTTTTTTGATTTGTAATTGTTATAGTTCTAAGCGCATTCATGGGGCCCATATAAAAAAGTAGGTTTAGTAGTATCTAAAACTTAACCTGTCTATGAGGCACCAGAGCATATCAGAAGAATTCTTGCACACTATTGTTTTGTTTGCCCTCTTCTCTGTATGAATAAAATGTGTGGATGGATGAATGTGCGGCCAGATAACAACCTTTAGCAGACCAATAATAACCCTAAATTTAAAGTTTTGCTGTAGAAAAATTACAAAATTTGATCAAAAATGTTCTGGGGACAAACAAATCTCTTTATAATAACATTTCAAAAGAAAACAACTTAAAAAATTCGGAAAAAACATTTAGTCTCAAATGTCTGACCTTGAACATTAAAAGTCTTGAGTTATTTACCCAACATCTTCGTCATCAAAACTATATTTCGGTTTAAATGTTTCCTGGGATCACAAACACAATGTTTGTATTTTCTAGCATTAGACTTTTTTTTGTTTGATTTTAAGGGTAGTGCTGAAACCCATAAAATTTTATTTTTATTAAAAATGTTAACTTGAAGGAAATTGTAAGAGGTATTTGATTGAGACAAAGGATGAACTTGAAACAAAAGGTAAACCTGTAAGAAATATAATACATGATTGTTGCATTCATTCTCTCCTATGAATTAAAATATTAAAATAATTATCTAGTAATTTGAATTTCTATAGGTTCAGATCCAGGTTTAAGGCTCAATCTTAGACCAAACTCTTGACGACAGCTTGTGTCACATGCTAGATCTTTGACTCGACTTAAGGTGTTAGGCCCAATGAAAAGAAAACTGACCTTGGTTGGTTTTAATGCAGAATTAGCCTCAATGTTGAGTGTTATTCTAATCAATTCCCGAAATTCGCCAGTTTCAACCATAAAAATCTGCAAAATACGATATCAAACCAGAGCTGGAAACTTTAGAATGGGATATCCTGAATCCTGATTGGTAAATTAATCTGGAGATTAATAAGAAGAGGAGAACAAGCATTATTTAATCTTGAGATTAAGAAAAAAAGTGCATCAAGCATTAATTATGATATACACCATTTAAAAGTTCCCAGCTCAATTTAAAAAAAACTTCATGAAAAATTCAGTTTCAACTTAGACCCTTAGTCTTAAAATTAGTCTCAATGACAGCTTAGACCTCAGTCTTATATCTCAAAATTTAATTAAGGTCGCTTCTTCTATTTCTACCCAAGTGGTACGTACATACATGCACAATAAGAACCACAATAAAACAGAAAAATTGTTGTTTTTGCTCTTTTTTCTTATTATTTGAAGCATATTCCTATTTTCAACTGTTATCAAAGAATATGTGTAGGGAACTATCCAGTTTTAATGATAGAAAAAGAAAGAAACAAATTAGCAGCATCAATAAATAGAAATGCCACTGAGTTTTATAAAATCATCTTAAATCTGAATAAACCTGGTAAATGTCATGCACATTGAAAAGCTTGTCGTCTACCATCTTTTTAAAAATTCATAAATGTTACACTAATGGTTTTTAAATTTCTAAATTATTATTGTTAGCTCATAAATGTTTTATTATAATGAGCCAATAAGGATAATACCAAAAAGACAACCTGAAACTTTTAAAATATGAAATATGAGGTTTAAATATTAAATGCCTTCAATAAAGTATAAAATTGTAGAATAATTTTTATTTCCAGGAAAGTACGGAGATTACGCAGACGGAGGTTACGGTAGTAAAATATTTTAATTTTTTTATTTATGAATATTTTTAATTATTTTAACATTTATAGTTCTTTTGAATATTTTTGATAATTATAAATTTTTATAAATAATTTTAATTATCTTAAACTTTCATAGTTATTATTAATATGTTTCATATTCAAAATATTTTTAATTATTAAAAATATTTTTAGTCATCATTATGAAATTTCATAAAAGATTTTAAATCCTATAAATGTGATGATCTGAAGGTTGAATTTTCTTTAAGTGATTTAAAAATAAAAGAAAGACCAGTTCAGTTTCATTGAACCCATAGACTAAAAGAAAATAAGACTAAATACACTCCGCTCAGTTTGAAGTCTTATATTTGTGGGTAACCCTGTATGTCCAAACTTTTTACTTATACAGGGATACACAAAAGGGTCAAGACTTTGTAGAGACATTTCTAAGGAATTTATGCAGGCTAAATATAATTCAAAATACAAATTTCAATGTGAGTAACCTTGAATGTAGATATGTCCCCTCTATCATCCAAGCAAATGTTTTTGTAATTTTAAGTGACTCTGCATTAAAAATTGCCCCGGTACTTGAAATGAACTGGAGTTTCTAGTGCTTGTCGGTTTTCTTCTTTTAAAGGAACCAATGTGAATTGAATATTCATTAAAGAAAAGTAAGACAAAAAAAGCAATGGAGAAAAGGAAATGAACTTAAAAATAAATACCCTACTGACTTAGCTCATAGACTTTCCCATTTTTGTCTAAAATTGTATGTAAAAAAACTTATTTTTTTAGATGCCTGTGAAAAAGATGCACATTGCCGTGATGGGGAATATTGCTGCACAACCAAAGTTTGCAAAGAATTGCCTCCATGTGAGGGGAGTAAAGATTGTCCAGATAATTTGATCTGCAACAAAAACAACCTGTGCCAACGGCCAAAGACCTATGGTGCAGATTATGTTAATTATAATTAATCTATTTATTCATAAACAATCATAATAGTACAGTTTAGAAGATTGAGATATACAATATTCAAATTATAAAAAATACAATAATTACCAATGGATTATTTGTTATTAATATATAATTTGTTTTTAAGACTGTATTATGAGATTTACGTTGTAAACCCCAATCCTGCGAATTGTACATCTCCTGCCACTTTAATATGTTATGATATATTGTGCAATAAATATTACTTACTTACTAATATAATTATGGTATTAATATTTATGGTCGAAAACAATATAAACTTAGTTCGTTTTTACATATATCGTCAATAATTTCAGCTATTTATCATAATTGTATCCGTCTAAAACATTTTGATTTGACTGGAATCGGATTAATAATAAATTTTTTAACATTGGAATTTAACATTTACAGCCAGATTTTGCGTAGATCATGTTTCCGCAATATTAAATAAATTCTTACATAATTTTGTACTTTGGTAATTTTTGCTTTTCCACCTAAAAATCAATAACGATGCAGCAAATAAAAGAATGAAAATATCTCTGTAGATTTAAAAATAATCGAGACTGAGGGTCACTTGTTTCAGCAGTTTATAAATTAAAGTTTCTTGTGGTTAAGCCATTAATTAACAATTTAATATGATACATTTTTTATTTGTTCACATTGGATGAACATTAAAATGGAAACTTTTTTTGGTTAAATTTGTAAGGTTCATTTAATCAAAATTAGATATTTTACTACAGTGAGAACAAGAAAACTATGGTACAGAAAGACAACATTACAATGTATTTGATGTCGTCACAAAGCAAAAAAAATAATTTTTAATTTGTTCAACCACTTTTTCAGCTTTCAAATAAAAAAGGAGTTGCTTAAATGTTGTCTTTCTATGCCAGAGTTTTCTGACTATCATGCTGCATATTGTGTATATAAATATTGAAAAATAAAAGATTAAGTTTAAATTCAATTTTCTTATCATTTGAGACTGAAATGTTAGTGAAGTTCAGTTTATTGTATGCCACTACCAAAATTAAAAATTGAATTTTTTTGTTGTTGAACAGAATTGCCCAATAATTAATTGCAATTATTGTGTGCCACAAGGTCTACAAGAAAATTGAACAGAATTGCACAATTGTGTGCAGTCAATACTCTTGCGTTTATCGCACATAATTATTGCGGAATTGCGTGCAATTAAATTCACTTGCGTGCAAGGGCTTGCAATTGCACGCAAGTAAAACCCACTTGTATTGGAAACCCTATCAGGCAAACCAAATAAAAAACTAATAGCGCTATTCCAAGAAGTGTACAATTTGTAATTGTTTACAGAAAAAATCCCATTGATTGGAATAATATACTAAATTCATTTGTAATTGTTATAAAGCTTAACAACTGTTGTAGGTTCAGAAAAAAGAAATTCTTGTTTCAAACAGTGAATTATTGATATACTCATGGAACGTTTTACATTACAATCTCTGTATATCGAATTATCAGGTTAAAATAGATTTCCAAAATGTTTAATCTAATAATAATAGTAATAGGACACCATTTAAAATAATCAGACATACATTATTATTATAATTTATAAATGTTAGATTTATTGAAAATAACACATTTAGTCTTGGATTTGTTTATATTCATGTTTGTACTAAACTATAGTTTACGATTTAAAAATTTCTCACATATATTTGGCATTACCTATAAACCATCCTACTTGGGGACAGACGAATGATGTTATCAGCATAAACCCATTTGACAATCAATCTTGGATAACCTTAACTGTATAAATTTGTTTATATAGAGGCAGAATAATATTGGAGAGAGTGGGCAAAGTTCCATTAATTTATGAATATTAACGGAAGAGTCCATTAACGTACAGCAAAACCATTATTTTTTAAACCATTAATGAAACAGATAAGCCGTTTTTGGGAAAAAAACTGTTGAAAATGGAACGGATTTTTTTTCATGGTAAATTTCGTTTTTCTCTGCTTAAATTTTTTTTTACATTTTTTGATGGTATTAAATTTTGTTTTCTGAATTGAAATTTAATACTTGAAGTTTGTCCAGCCATGAAAGAATCTGGGTTCTCCTCAGAATAGGATAAATAAAGTTTATTTAGATATTTGATACTACTCAGTAGACAGAAAAGGTTTAATATAGTTTAACTGCTAGTTATAACCCGTTAACAAACTTTTTTATTATTGAAATTGACAGCCGGCTTTACCATTAAGGATTTTTTAACCATTACACATTTTTTGGGGGCTTTGTGCCGTTCATAAGGTAAAAGACCGTTAACAATTGTTGAAAATGTTCACTAAAAATTGTTATTAAAATTAAGATTGTTAACTCACGGTAATTAAAAAAAACAGTAAATGCCGTTAATGAAACAAATGGTCTGTTCTTACCTTTATCAATTACCAGGAACACATAGTTGTAATACTACAGTAAGGTTGAAATTCAAACTGCAATTCATCACTGGATAGTTTATCAGAGTCTAAAACTAAAGAATGCGCAAATTTTAAGTTTGAGGTTAAAAGTTCTGTAAAATAATGAGTAGCTACTTAAATATTAAACTTTCATCAATTTTAAATTTGAATTTCCCAGGAAAAATCTGAACCAATCAGACAAAAGGATATACTATCGGTAATCAGCTGTTTTTTTGAATTTTATATTATTTACATGAAGGAAAACAAAACATACTTCCTGTTATAACCATATTTTGGGTTTACGTGCAAACCTTAATTAATCTAAAACGTAAAATGTATTAAATCAAGGTTTTTATTTATTTTTAAATATATCGTAATCAGTTGAATGCCGCTTACCACCGCTGAATGATGATATACAAACAGGGGCAAACGAGGGCTTTTGTTTAGGGGGGGCACAATGTGCGTGCGTAATCGCGCAAAAAAAATTTTTGGTCCCCCCCCTTGGCAACATTGTGCCCCCCCTTAAAAACCCCTTTTTGGAAAAAAATATTAATACCTTTTTTTAATTTTTTTTGCCCCCCCTCCCACCTGGACTTGTTTTGTTCACCATAAAAATACACCAAAAAGACTACTTTTTTGGGTGTTAAAATTATTTCTTTGCTTGAAAAACTAACTTTTTGACTTTATAAACTTATCACTTAACTCCATCACAGCTAACTAAATCAATAATTACAGCATCATTAAAAATTATATTTTTACTAATAAACAAAATTTCTTCTGAAATTTTTAGATAGAATTTACTCAATCTACATATTCACCAACTCTTTTAAGCTAAAATTTTCTGGGATTTGCTTGCACAAACATTTCAATGATTTTTTTCAGTAGAGAGCTCAGACAGGGTGTAAAGCTATAAATAAGTGCAAGATCGTTAAGTCTGCTCTCCATCATAGTACATCTTGTGTAATGAAGTATTCTCTTTAGAAGGCTAAAACTTTTCTCTCCTTGTATTAACAGTGAATTCAGACAAATCCCCCCTAGGTACACCACTGTGCCTGACCTGAGGAAGGGAAATGCAAGCAGATGTAATATTAAAAGAGCCTCCCCCATGGATGCCCCCCATCAGCCTCTCAGGGGGGGCACGCGTAGAGGGGGGCGGGGGGGCGCGGCCCCCCCCCCTCGTACGCCCCTGTATACAAATAGGGATTGCGGGATTTCAAGATTTTAAGCCTGTGTTTAAATTTTAACTTGTCTATTTCGGCGAGTTAAATATTTAACCACAGGGTTAAATATTTAACCTCACGGTTAAAGTTCAGGTTTAAATTAAGTCAGAAGTGGCATTTAACCGTGAACTTGTATTTAAATCAAAACTTTTCGTTCTTTAGTTTTAGGCTCCGGTCATCTAATTATAAGGATGAGTCAGTCAAACCATTTAAATAGTAAGCTTCCAATTCAATAGCTCTTAAATTATCACTATCACAAATATCATTAAAATTATCTTTTACTATTGAAACAAGGGGGCAAATAAATAGAAAGTGGGTATTTTTCCCAGTCCTTAGAAACCATCTAAAATGCTATGTCATATGGTTTATAAGTTAATCTGATGGAGCATTTATGAAACAGTTGGAGTTTACCAGGTTTCAGCTTTCTCAGACCCACTCATCTGATTAAAGTTCTTGTATATAATTCTAATATCTATTTGTTCATTCACATTTTTGAATTATTCTCCTAATAAACCTTTTTTTCATCAATAAAAAAATGAAACTAATTGTTGCACATTGGGCAAAATGGTGCTAATCATAAATAATAATGAAGATCGTATTTCATAATTAGGATTAAGAAATATATTAAAAATAATTAATTGTATTTAAATAATTTTTTATAAGTCAGTTAAAAATGGAGAGTCAGCTAGTAATCTGTTTTACTGTCCTTATCACACAATTCCTTTCAGGAAACCATTTTTATATACAAAATAAATATATTTTTAATAACAACCAGAAATATAGTCTCTTTTCCTTTTATATTTAAGGATTTTGTAAATAAACTTTTTCTAAAAAAAGACAATTGTAATCAATAATATCAAATTAAATTCCTTAGCAAAATTTCTGGCGAAAAATAAATATCAAAGAAGAGACATTTACTTATAAGAAAAACAATCCAAACAATAACACTGATTGGATTTTTTCTGATTATGGCCAGGGCTGGGCAGGTTCTGACTTTTTTTCAAACTGTTTGATAGCGACAGTGGTAAGGCCATTAATGAAGAGGACTTTGGATACACTACACATAAAAGTCAAGAGAAGCTGTCAATCAAAAAAGCTTCTCTTTGATAACTTGTAAACTTGTAATTCGAAAAAAGCTTGCTAACAATCAAAACTAAAATTAAAAAGTCGTCTTTATTGTATTGATATAATTTCCTACCACTGTAATTGTTGGTTATTTACTTAAAGACGAACTGCAATACCTTTAAGTAAAGTTTTAAGTTACTATTCACTCTAACTGAACATTATTCATTTTTAAACATATACTTTGGACTCTTCATAAATCCTTGATCATGCATCCAAGCTTCAATCCTGTAATTATAAAATCAAAATAAAGACCATTCCTAATAATTATCATATCAATGATGAAATTTTGAAAGATTTAAAATAAAACAAGAGAGAAAACAAACAATAGACCTGTCTGATACATGTATTCAAATAAACGTGTTAAAGTTTCCACCAACCAGCATAGTTTCTAGGGTTAAACCCTACTTTAAAATTTAAACATTAAGGTGAAAACTCTAACATTTTAAAATTCTTATAAAAAATGTAGTTTGAAAAGGAAATTGTAAGAACTATCTGGTTGAGACGAAGGATGAACCTGGAGTTGTAGAACTGGGAGGTAAACCAATTAAAAAGAAGATCAATGCTTGATCTTAAGATCCACGACTCAAAAGTTGTGACTTCAGAGCCAGGGACTTATAACATTCAAGAAAATACGTCTCAGGTCTAAGCTGTCGGTGGGTCTTATTTACAGCTCAGGCTTTAGGATTTCAACTGCATCTAATTTTCCACAGAGTTGAGTTCATAAAACCGGTTTAATATTGTATTTGGCGGATTTTCATAGTTGTATAAATTAAAAAAATTTTCTGACATTTTACAATAAAAAGAATGAAAGAAGATGACATTGATTTCATGTTTTTTGCCACAAACTTAAATATTCTAATTCCTATATCTCTGCGTCAGGATGGTTTAAACTGTGAAGATTTAAAACTTATTTGATCTAACAGAATTCAAAGTTTGAAATATCAAAAGTCACCGATATTGGGTTGAAAAGATACAGGGATTGGAAAATCTGAGTTTCCAGCAAAAACTCAATTCCTTTGTCTCTACATTTTAACTGTAAAGAGGAAAATGCTCCACTTAAAAAGTTATTGGGCAACATTTTGTTCTTATAATTGGACTCCATGAACACCATTATTACTGTCCAATTGGTCATGTTCAATGTTTAATTTATAAAATATTATAGAAATACTTGGGAAGGCTAGTAGAGCCCCCAAATCTTTAATGTATGGTCATTAGAATCTATTTGTATATCTAGATTATCCTAAATTGGTTGTTATTTCTTGTAAAAAAGCCATAAAGTGTACTGCAGTTTTTTTGCAATCTTTACGACTCCCATATCACGGGCAGCCGTAGTACATTTGAATTTCCGAGCTGGGTCAACCTTTTCGGTGACAGTTTGTACTGTACCTAGCTCTGGGGACAGGACTAGCCGATGCAACAAGGTTGACGCGGTCAGACTTTATGCTTCATATAAGTTGAATTTACTTTTACTAAAGGGGCAGTGGTGCGTGATATAACTTTAAACAAATGTACCCAATATATTGCGGAGTTACAGAATCCATTCAAGGATAAATATATGAACGGAGTTGGGATCTTTTGAATTGTGGATATCGGGATTAATGCTTGATCCACTCTTTTTTCTAAATTTCCAGATTAAATAATGCTTGTTATCCTCTTGTTTTTAATCTCCAGATTAATTAACCGATCTGGATTAAGGAGATCCCATTCTAAAGTTTTCAGTTCGGGAAAAGTAATTATAGATTAAAATCATTTTAAAAATCAATGCATGCCTCAATTGATATAATTTATTCATGCCTAAGCCACACTTTTAGAGATAATTCAGGCCCAACCTACAATAAATTCTCAAAAATAAGAAAGAAACGGTATGACAATATATGAAAAGTGCTTTAGTTATCACTGTATCTGTCCTATCTGTGTAATTTGTAAAATAGTTTTTATATCCAGGAAAGTATGGAGATTATTCCAATTCTGGTTACAAAGGTAAAACATTTGTAGTGATAAAAATAATTTTAGTAATTATATTTATTTCTAATCATTATGATTATTTTCTATTATTATAAACACTTTTGATCATTATAAATATATTCAAATACTATATGAATAATTTTAGTTTTTCTAAATAATTTTGATTATAATCAATACTTTAAATGTAAATACTTCAAAGTATTATAAGTATTTTAATGCGATAGTCACTTTTGAAAATAAACACTATATGAAATAAACCTTTGGGTTATTTTTCAAAACTAGACTTTTTCATTGTTGTATAAAATTCCTTGTAATATATATAATTTTCTATAGATGCCTGTGAAAAAGATGCACATTGCCGTGATGGGGAATATTGCTGCACAACCAAAGTTTGCAAAGAATTGCCTCCATGTGAGGGGAGTAAAGATTGTCCAGATAATTTGATCTGCAACAAAAACAACCTGTGCCAGCGGCCAAAGACCTATGGTGCAGATTATAATTATAGTAATTATATAGATGTTAGAGCATATTGAATATAGATTATATAGATGTTGGATTATATTGAATTTAGATTATCTATGTAATAAATCTAGGTCCCAAGATTACTTGACTCTTAGTCTAATTTTAGTCTCACTGACTCTATCTCCAGCCAAAACTCAAGACTCTATATCTCTAGCCAAAACTCAAGGCTATATACACGTTCGTCTAAATCAACGATTCATACATTACTACTTTATAAATACAGGTAAATAGAACTGACCGGAATGGCCAGTCAGGGTCAATATGATTATAGATAAAATAGATAACGAAACATAGATAATAAAGATTGTATTGATCATTACAAATGCCCCAGGGAAAAGTGATGAGAGTTATAGTCCGATGTAATCCTGACTATCTCTCATTCATTCAGCATCAACGATAATATATATATAGATATGCAGACAGGTATAAATTTAGAGGTCTTGAGATAATGAGCACAAAGCACCATCTCTGTCGTACGCATGGCATTTTATCCTCTGGATTGTTGCTAATTTATCACTTTGTTTATGCGTGATAACACTAAATGCGTACTATTGTATCAACAATGTATACTGCATATTGTACTTAATGAAACAAATTAATCAATGCAAATAAAACTGAGGTAGGAATTTGACTAGACAGAGTTTAAATGTGCAAGTTGTACTGAATGGCATACGTAAATTAACGCAATTTAAATAAAAATTATGACTATAAAAGTACATCGAGTCTAGGACAAATTACAACTGATCTGATCATAACATAAACAAAACGCGTACTGTATGTTTGTGTTACCTTGAAATTTAATTTTATTGGTCAAACAGGTCCAGATAGCAACACTTGAACTATACAGGATGCAATACGCGTACTGTATGTTTATATAACACAAATGCGTATTTCCTACAGATAGCAGAAAGGGGAGAAAGGCATATAGAAAGTAATCAATTTGCTATAGATGTCTCTTTGTGCACATTTTTTCAGAGGTTCAAAAATTAGTTGTCTGATAAAAGCAATTTAGGAAGGAGGTTTCTACCTGCCTGCATATCTATATATATATTATCGTTGTTCAGCATACACAGCAAAAACCAGGGACTTAGATCTCTTTATCTGGGTTGGGGTCAGCCCTGGGTTTCATCTTGAGCTACCCTGGGTCTATCACAGCATCCTGGGCGAGGACAACGCATTGTGGAACACCACCGTAATCTACAATAACATGCTGACCTAACTGGACACATCTGGCTCAAGGTACTGCCCGAATGATATCAACACGTTGCAGAACAGCATTGTAACCTATAATGCTGTGCTGATCTTGAAGGACATATCCAACTCTTGGTCCTTTCACATCAGCCTGTTGGTGTAGACCATCTTCCCTTGCTAGAGCACTCTTGTGCTGGACTTCAACATGGCTTGTATCTCTGATCTTGGGAAAATAACACTCCCTTATACTCCAGACCCCTTGATTTCTTGAGTTCCGCTCCATTTGATTGAAGGAAAATAGCTCTTTTCCAAGCATCCTGTAGCTGAGCATCCTGTGATGGAGTCTGCAGTTGGGTATGTACATCTGATGAGGTGATTCACTCCAATCCTTAACACCCTCAGTAACCGTGATGGAGAGGAACATAAATAGCAGCATTAATCCCATAGGATAGAGAGAGCTACTCCATTATCTGTTCTGCCTCCCTTGGTTTCTTGTTGACTGACTGGTAGTGGGAGGGACTAGGTTGCTCTGCACCGTTGCCAAAGGTTGCAAAGAACGGTGTCTAACCTGTACTACTATGCACCGTAGTGTTATAGGCCAGACAAGCCGCCTTTACATCTAAATCCCATTCATTTTGCATCTCACTGCCCATTGTTCTCAGTATACTCACTATTGTTCTATGCCACCGTGCTATGATGTTTGAGGATGGGTTGTAAGGTGGAGTTCTAGTATGCAAAATCTTCAATTCACTAAATAGTTCAATCCATAACTTATTAACGAACTCGGTTACAGTGTAGTTAACATCCATCTTTACATGTTTGCTGTACATTGTGCAGTGTACAGCTTAACCTCTACACTGTACAGCTTAACCAATACACTTTACAGTGTAGTTAACATCTATCTTTACATGTTAGCTGTACATTAGCTGTACAACCTCTTATACAATTTTTAGATAAAATATATGAAGGAATGAATAAAGACAATCCTGAAAACACAATTGCTATTTTTTTTAGATCTGAAAAAAAGCGTTTGATACCGTAGATTTTGAGATTCTTTTAAAGAAACTTAATCACTACTAGTTCAGGGATAATACTAATCTATGGTTTAAAAATTATCTTACAAATAGAACTCAATACATATAGCTGGTTGTTAATCGTTTTTGTAAACGATCGTTAACCGATCGTTAAACGATCGTTTTCAAAAACGGATCGTTTCGTTTTCAGAAAAAAAACGATCGTTTTTAAAAACGACCCACTCGTTTTGAACTTTTAGAAAACGAATAGCGATCGTTTTTGAAAACGATCGTTTTTATTGAAACGATTTGAGACCGTTTTTTATACGATTGTTTTTAAAAAAACAATCGTTTTTGAAATAAACAATCGTTTTTGAAAAATATTTTATCGATAATTATGTTAACGATCATTGACGACGGGTAGTCGTTAACGATCGTTAACAAAAAGGTCGTCGTTAAAGATCGTTAACGAAACAACGAACTTTATCAAAACAGTCGTTTTGGAAAAAAAATTACATGCAACTTTATTGAATGTCGTCTTACATGAGGTTTAACAGTTGTGGGGGAGTTAAAACTCCTTTATATTTTCTTAAAAACTACACAATGATAAGTACAGATGCCCTTCAGGTCGGTTTCCTCTCTTCGTTAACGATTGTTAACGAAGGGTCGTCGTTAACGAAGGTCCGTCGTTAAAGTTCGTTAATGAAGGGTCGTTGTTAACGATCATTAACAAAACGACGAATTTTATAAAAACGATCGTTTTGAAAAACGAGCGTTTTGAAAAACGATCGTTTTAAAAACAACCATTTTTAAAAAACGAGCTTTTTAAAAAAACGATCATTTTTAAAAACGATCATTTCGTTTTCGATTTTTCGTCGTCGTTTTTTACAACGAAACGATCGTTTTTCTGAAAAATGATAACGTTAACATCCCTAAATACATAAGTGTAAGGGATTTTGAATCTTCTTGCAAGGAAATTTTATGTGGTGTACCCCAGGGCTCAGTTTTAGGACCTCTACTATTCTTTCTGTACATAAATGATCTTCCAGATTGTACATTGTTTTTCAGTTCTTTATTTGCCGATGATACTGGATTCTTAAAATCATCCAATAATCTAGAAACTCTTTTTCAAAAGGAAAATCATGAAATTTCCAAAGCATCTTATTGGTTTCAGGCTAATAAGTTAACACTTAATGTTTCAAAAACCAATTATATTGTATTTAGAAATAAATCTATGCCATTTGATGATCAGGGTTATAATCTCAAAATAGGAAATGAAATTATTGCATGAATAGGCTCAACTTGCAAAGATAAATATTTCAAGTTTGTCGGTGTAAAATTTGACGAATTTTTGAATTGGAATTATCAATTAGATGGTATTTGTGCAAAATTATCTAGTGCAATTTTTGCCCTGAAAAGCGTTAGAAAGATTCTCCCGTTAAACATAAGAAAGATAGTTTATGAAAGTTTAATAATATCTCAATTAGAGTATGGTACTTTAGCATGGGGGTCATCAACAAACAATAGGAAAATTATTTAAACTTCAAAAGAAAGCAATACGGACTTGGTCAGATAAAGGATATTCACAGCATACAGATCCTTTGTTTTCTAAACTTGGAATGCTTAAATTATCTGATATACACAAACATAATGCTTCTACTTTTATGTATAAATATATAAAAGAAAAACTTCCCTCGTCTTTTAATGGAATGTTTGCTCCATTTGTAGAACCTAATAGGACACAAAGTTTTAAATTGGAATTAATTAGAAACAAATATCTTAAACCTTTCCCAAAAATATTTCTCATGAGAATTTGGAATAGTGCTCCAATGAATATTAAATGCTCATTATCAGTACTTAGTTTCAAAACGAATATGAAAATATATCTGGCTTCTAAATATAAGCAATTTAAATGTAAAACAGGAACTGCAACTCATGTAATTTGAAAATCTTGTAAACCACTCTGTAACATATTATCTACAAAAATTGGATTTTTTAGTGCTGGGGCTTCTCCTTCTCTTTCCCTTTTCCCTTTGCTATTCACCCATCCTTTTTTTTCCTTTTTTAAAAAATTACTTTAAGAATTGTGTAATGTATTCGTTATTTGTTAATTTTAAAAAATAAAATGCATCTATTTACAACTCTATCCTTGCAACCTTTATCTAACTTGAAAAGTGTTTATTTATGTGAAATTCTCCATTGTTTCTTAAAAGCAAATAATACTCAGTCACTTTTGAAAAGAAATAAAAATAAACAGTTTAAATAAACAAAAACTTGGAATGACTAATTTATGCTTGATCTAGCTGGAATATTGTCAGGTCCCTAGGCTGTACCTGTGGCCGAATTTAAAGAATTTGAGCGGCGGTTTAAATTTAAGCCGCGGCTTAAATATGGTTGGTTCCACTTAAAATTGTATCAAATGTTTCAAGATTTAAGCCAGCGCTGAATTTAAACCGGGTTTTGGCAGATTTAAACCGCGGCTCAAATTCTTTAAATTCCATCTCTGGTTTAAGTTTTAATATTTTCTCTTTAACTTCGGTTTGTTAAAAAATATATCCCATGATGAAGCTGTTAGAAAGTGGGGGGCAATTTGGGATATTGCTGGTGTCCTCTTTAGTAAAAGCACTACAAAAAGATTTGTTTAAAACTGTAGCCATCTGTTTATAGTCACTTATCATTTTGTTGTCAACTTTAAGAGGTCCAACTCTTGCTCGGTTTTTTGTTCTACTGGTAATATAAGAGTTAAAAGGCCTTTTATTTCCATTCGTTGCAATCAGCTGTTCAAATCTTCTTTTAGCCTCTCGTACTGCTTTTTTACATTCCTTTTGAGCTTTAATAAAAATATTTTCATTCTCCGGTGTTCTGGTCTGCATATACAAATTATATCGTCTTTGTTTGGTCCTGATTAATTCTCATGTCTCCCTAAAAGACCTGTTTGTGCTTGTGATCTTATTCATCAATATTTACTTTAGTTCATTAATGAAACGAGGGGGTAAGGGATGAAAGAACAAATGGAAAAGGGGAAGGGCGGTAAACAAAAGAACTGAGGAGTGAGGGGGGAGTAGAACAACTAATATTCAAGCGGGTAGGGGCTGGCAAAATGATCTGGGGGGGGGGACAATGCACAGTGTATGAGAG